ATGTATTTTTGTATACACGTATCAGGTATGGAGTCAGGTGTGTTAGGTATGGAGTCAGGTGTGGTAGGTATGGTAATTAGGGTGCTTTAATGTACATGTACTAAATGACGCGACAAAAAATAGTAAAAGTTGGGTAATTGTATGAAAATGAAATTGTGTTTGGATGGAGGGACGTAGATTAACATAGTAATGGTGGGGGGAGAAATAGTGGGGGCAGTGGGAGGGAGAGGGAGGGGTAGGAAATGTGAGTGGTAGGAGGAAGAGAGCAAGTGGGAGGAGAGGGATGGGAAGTGATATATGGAGAGGGAGGAGGAGGAGGAGAGTGGAGGGCGGAGGAGGTAGTGAAGGAAGAGGAGGAGGAGGGATGAGCGGAAATGGGGGGGGATGGTGGGGGTGAGGAGGTAGACGAAAGAAGCCTGGAGGAGGTGGAGAAAGAGAGGTGTTGGGAGGAGAGGAAGCCGGATGGAGAAGGGGGAAGGAGGTGGAGAGGGGGAAGGGAGGTAGAGGGAAGAAGAAGGGAAAGGTCAGACTAGGGTAACACAACAGGGAGGAGGGGGGGGGTAACTTATAGCGTGACATTATTACTCAAGGTGCAAGAGAGCTTAATCGCCTTTACCTGTGTGAATGAAAGGGTTGGCCACAGGTAAATCTGCCACCATCCACTGATTGACTGCCGCACATCATCACGCACCTGTACCTCTATTTGATTCAATAACTGGTCGTATACTGTGTGTCAAGGTAAAGTTTAGGTATATTTTAGGTGATGTCAAGGTAATTTATTTTAGGTGAAGCCAAGGTTAATGGTAGATTAATTTTAGGGAAATGTCAAGATAATTTTCGGTGATGGCAAGGTAATTTATTTTAGGTGATGCCAAGGTAATGACAGATTAATTTTAGGGAAATGTCAAGGTAGTTTTCCGTGATGGCAAGGTAATTAGCGAGTGTTTTATTTTACCTGTTCTTAGTATAGGGTTTATTTCAGTGAGTGAAGGCATAATAAACCAGCTGGCGAAGAGAGTTGTCGATACAGATGGCTTCATTCTGACGGTCAGCTGGTTTGGTTTGGGTAGATAAAGTTAGAATGGGTAAATACTCAGGTGCAATAACCCAGTGGGGGGGATATTCAGGTACCTATGAAAAATCTGTTACTGGAATGTGGATGGTGATGGCCGTAGACTTTCTTACATTTATTTGCTTTATAATGACCATCGTGATGTTATGAGAATCCATCATATTTTCTGATTAATACCGAAACAGTTTATTTACCTAACTTAATCTAACCGAACCTAATCTAACCTAACCTAACCTTACCTCAAAGTAGAGTTAGGGTGGTTAAACTTCAGGTTAAATAAGCTGTGGGTAGGGCAAATCATCAGGTGAAATAAGCTGTGGGGGGGAGGGGGGGGACACAAGTCTTTAGGTGAAATAAGCTGGGGACGGAGGGGCAAATCTTCAGGTGCAGCTTATCCTTGTTACTGTGAAAGCTTTTTACTCAACACTGCAACACTCGCCCAGATGTTCGCTTGCAAATTGAAGTATCCATTTGGCTGGGTAATCTTCCTGCTATGTAAATTCATCTCGTGATATTCTTTTCATTGTGGACATTTGGCGCAAGGTTATGTTGGGCAGACACGGGGGTGTTGGCTTCTTCTTCTTCTTCTTCTTCTTCTTCTTCTCCTCCTTTATCTCCTCCTCTCCTCCCATAATTACCACCATCACCACCAGCATCACTACCACTACCACCGTTATCTCTTCATATCACCACCACCAGCATATCCATCACCATCATCACTAATACTGCCACCATATCCTCCACTACCAACACCACCACTACCAACACCACCACTACCACCACCACTACTACCACCACCACCACTACCACCACCACCACTACCACCACCACCACTACACACCACCAACAACAACCCCTCCTCCCGGAAAATGCTTATTATGCAAATTATCCTCCAAACTTTGCCGGCAGTTTATTACCAAGTCCCGTTTTTTTTAGTTCTTTTTTCGTCTTTTTTTTTTTACTTTTTTTTTTCTTCAGTCTTAAGCAGGAAGAGGAGGAGGAGGTGGTTAAAGTTCCCTGTGTAGTCATGTGTAGTGTAGAGGCTGGAAATGGAGTGGTGTAGAGGTGTAGTGGTGTAATGGTGTAGAGGTGTAGTGGTATAGTGGTGTAGAGGCTGGGAGTGTAGTGGTGTAGAGGCTGGAGGTGTAAATGAACCCGCCTCCCCCCCCCCACTCAGCAGTCACATGTAGTAGATGAGGTGTAGTGGAGGTCCTGATAGCCTGGAGGTAGAGATGGGGGTAGAGGCCGTGAGATTGAGAGATTGGATGGCGAGTGATTAGAGAGAGCCGAGGTGATTGGTAGGCCAAGAGAGGGTAATTTGATGGACCAATTTTAGGGACGTCTCTCTCTCTCTCTCTCTCTCTCTCTCTCTCTCTCTCTCTCTCTCTCTCTCTCTCTCGTGTGTGTGTGTGTGTGCCAGACGTATGATCACTGGGTAAAGAATGTGTTCCATGTGTTCCTTGAGAAGTACGATATCTCCCTCGTGTTGCCAGGCGTCGTCTACTCCGTCCGTCGCTCCTTCTGTGTCTGGCAGTGAAGTATCATTGGTCGAGAGGTGCTGGACCATAGGGGAGGGGGTTCAGGGAGGTCAGGGTCAGGGTCATTATTAACACAGGGGAAGGGAGGTGGTGGTTGAAGGGAAAAGTGGGGGAAGGGGGGGGGGGTGAGGGAGATATCGACACTACACGATTAGCAAGACTCAGTCACTAAGACAGGCTTAACCCCACACTGCTCAGTCACCACGGCTAATTAAGGGATGACGGGAACCAATCAGTGGCGAGATCTAGGTCACCAGGGGCAGGTAGGTCTGGGCACTGATTTACCTGCAGGTTATCGTTTGACCTGTGTGACCTTTTGAACTCTTATGTAATATATTTCACTTATTGAATGTTATAAATAGGTTTAATGTTGTGTTTGATGTTGTACTAATACGGTTTGGTTGTTGTTATGGTGAAGGTGATGAGGTATACAGTGCGTTATAGATGAGGGTTGTGTTGTTGTTATGGTGAAGGTGATGAGGTATACAGTGCGTTATAGATGAGGGTTGTGTTGTTGTTATGGTGAAGGCGATGAGGTATACAGTGCGTTATAGATGAGGGTTGTGTAGTTGTTATGCTGGTAGATGGTGGTACAAAGTGGCACTACAATGTGATGAGTCTTGTGGTTATGTTACTACTGCTGTCAGACTGCTACTACTACTGCTAACTACTGCTGTTGCCATTAATACTCTCAGTACTGTTGTTATTGATGTTGTAATCCATTGTTATGTAGATATATATTCGAGTGTTTGTGTGCACATAATATGTCATAACTTTAACATCTAATATATAAACAATGTACCTGAGATTTTTTTTAATGGACCTTTTGTAGACTTTAAACAAAAGCTAACACCACTATGATCGTGGAGAGTTAAGTACCATTTGATACACATAAGAGATCAGTAGTTAGTGGTTATAATGTTAAGTGTAATAAGAGTTACTTAACATAATAGTAATAAGCTAAATTTATTCAGATTATTGACTTGTTTTACCTGTTTTCATAAAGTGTTATGTATAGTATAAGTTAAACGTGCATGAGATACATTTAGAGGTCAGCACTTTTCTTGGGAGTATATATATATATACTCTGTATGTTTGTTAATTTATACACAGGCTATTATACCGGAATATTGTATTTTTTCAACACTTTGTGTATGTGGGGCGGTGATGCATATATCTTCATGTTGAAGTTTTTGGTGTTTTATAATAACTTATTATTTATAATATTATTATTATTATTATTATTACTATTATTATTATTATTATGATGATGCAGGTGTAGTGTAGTATCAGCTTAGTGTGTGTGTGTGTGTGTATAGCGTAACAGTACCAGCAGGTGTGTGCGTGTGTTTGCTGTAACAGTGCCAACTTAGTGTGTGCGTATGCATAGCTGTAACAGTGCCAGTTTAGTGTGTGTGTGTGTGTGTATGGCTGTAACATTGCCAGCTTAGTGTGTGTGTGTGTGTATAGCTGTAACAGTGCCAGCTTAGTGTGTGTGCGTATGTATAGCTGTAACAGTGCCAGCTTGTGTTGTGTGTGTGTGTATGCTGTGTGTGTAGTATGTATAGCTGTAACAGTGCCAGCTTAGTGTGTGTGTGTGTGTGTGTATAGCTGTAACAGTGCCAGCTTAGTGTGTGCGTATGTATAGCTGTAACAGTGCCAGCTTAGTGTGTGTGTGTGTGTGTGTATAGCTGTAACAGTGCCAGCTTAGTGTGTGCGTATGTATAGCTGTAACAGTGCCAGCTTAGTGTGTGTGTGTATATAGCTGTAACAGTAAGACAGGTAATATCATGGTACTAGGTGATGGGACTGTTCATCACACAGGTAATATCATGGTACTAGGTGATGGGACTTGTTCATCACACAGGTAATATCATGGTACTAGGTGATGGGACTCGTTCATCACACAGGTAATATCATGGTACTAGGTGATGGGACTTGTTCATCACACAGGTAATATCATGGTACTAGGTGATGGGACTTGTTCATCACACAGGTAATATCATGGTACTAGGTGATGGGACTTGTTCATCACACAGGTAATATCATGGTACTAGGTGATGGGACTCGTTCATCACACAGGTAATATCATGGTACTAGGTGATGGGACTTGTTCATCACACAGGTTATATCATGGTACTAGGTGATGGGACTCGTTCATCACACAGGTAATATCATGGTACTAGGTGATGGGACTTGTTCATCACACAGGTAATATCATGGTACTAGGTGATGGGACTCGTTCATCACACAGGTAATATCATGGTACTAGGTGATGGGACTCGTTCATCACACAGGTTATATCATGGTACTAGGTGATGGGACTCGTTCATCACACAGGTAATATCATGGTACTAGGTGATGGGGGGCAGGATAAGAAAAGAAACAAGTGATGATCTACACCTTTATTACACTTGACAGGTACAAATTCATTAAGACCCTCGTACACCTCTCTCTCTCTCTCTCTCTCTCTCTCTCTCTCTCTCTCTCTTAGCTACACACAACACTAAGACTTACAACATTTAGGCATCTGATATTATAGAACATAATAAAGCTCCTCTATAATATGATAGGGTTCATCCGTAACACATTGGAGCTCCTCTGCAACACATGAGAGCTCCTCTGCAACACATTAGAGCTCCTCTGTAACACATTAGAGCTCCTCTGTAACTCATTGGAGCGCCTCTGTAACACATTAGAGCTCCTCTGTAACACATTAGAGCTCCTCTGTAACTCATTGGAGCGCCTCTGTAACACATTAGAGCTCCTCTGTAACACATTAGAGCTCCTCTGTAACTCATTGGAGCGCCTCTGTAACACATTAGAGCTCCTCTGTAACACATTAGAGCTCCTCTGTAACACATTAGAGCTCCTCTGTAACACACAGGAGACGTCAAAACTCCATAGTCTTGTGCATGTGTCAAGGCTTCACACTGTACAGGTAAGTATAATTAAGGACCTTACCTGATGCTGCTACCTGGTTTATAGTTATGCTGTACTAGTCATGTCACCTTTATGACAGACATGACTAGTGACATTAATTTGACATGACAGGTGTTGACAGGTGGAGTGAGCATCAGGTAATTATTTTAGGGGATCAACAGGTGTGGAAATAAATAGGCTTCACCGGCAACAAATAATTGATAACAAGGTTTTATAGTCACGAGTACAAACACAGAAGGAAGCCACTACAGTACCTGGTAAATATACAAGTTCGAGCTGTACAGTACACTCACTATTTACAAACATTCACACTCTTCATTCTCTCTCTCCTGTACAGTACATCATCTTCACACACTCAGTCAGACCACTCTACCTACGTTAAGATTATATTACTCATCCCAGTTAGTCAGTCACACAGTTACTTACAGTTATAAATGTATATCCTCGTCACAAAGGCTAGTTATAATAATAATAATGAATTTACGTCAGCAGCAGCGGAATTAGAGGTGTCGGGAATATAGCGAAGCAGCAGAAAGTTGCTGGCGCCACTCAGGTGCTTGTGGTGACCGAGGAGGCAGGGTGGGAGGGCGTGTGGGAGAGGCTGGGAGCAAGAGGTCATCCATGGGAATAGAGGCAGAGCCTCATGGTGAACACAGGCCACAGGCGAAGCCTGCAGTCTGCTACCCGGCCGTAGTTGTGTATGGTGGTGAGAACACCGCAACTTGCCAGCACTACTGCACCTGTTGACGAAGAACGCCAATGCCCAGGGTATAGGCCTCAGTAGCATCCTGGGGACGTGGCCCAGGACTCAGTTTAGGAAGGATTCTCCAGATACAACTGAGGAAATGTTTGTGCCGTTGTGGTGGACGTGACCACATGAGCCAGTAACAGCTCTCTCTCTGGGGTAAACATTTGATACAAGACACATCTAGTTTCTACTTTACTAACACTTTATTAATGACAACATTGAGGTTTATTCTTGTCAGAATATACGGTAGTAGTTGTCGCTTACCTTCTGTACAATAGTTTTACAAAAGTTTATTCTGAGAAGAAGTGTAAAAGTTGCAGTGGTCTCTCCCAGTTGTCGTTGACCTTCAATTAGGCCAAGTTTTAGGTAAATGAACAATAATCTTAGAAGTAAAGAAATTAGCAGATAAGTGTAGTTGTTGACGGTCCAAAGACAGCTGAGAGAGTGACCAGGGTGAGGGCTGCCACCCCCAGCATGGCCACGGCGGGGTATACGGTGCCAGTTCCACTGTTGAGGCCCACCACCACCTCCCTCTGAGACGTCGTGCTCAAGGAATCACTCATAGGCTTCTCAGGTCCCACCATTGATAACTTAGGTGGGTCAGGGGTCGTGCTGGTAGTGGTGGTAGTTGTGGTGGTAGTGGTTGTGGTGGTGGTCGACTTGTACAGTACTGAAGTCTGTTCAGGTATGTTAAGTTGTGTGTTGTTGTGGATGAAGTAAGGAGGCGAGTACTGAGCGCGGAGGAGCACCAGCCGCTGGTCCATGTGCAGGCCCTCCACCACCCGGGAGATCTGGCTAAGGTCCTTGTACACAGCGGTCAGGGTGCCGAAATAGGGCGCCTCAGTCTTGCGTACAGTGCCAATCATTTTGACCCTGACACCCGTGCCAGGAGGCAGGTCATACTCGAGAAGGTCTTGGTACACACGGTCCAGCTCGTTCTGTATACCCCACACCAGGTCTCGCTCCTCTGCCTCTGGTGGGGGAGTCACCACGTGGGCGTCGAGGCCGGTGTAGGTGCCCTTGATGCGGCCCCAGTAGGACAGCTGCTTCACCACCACTTCCCTCGCCTCTACAACGTGCTGGCGTGATGGCCCGGGGTTGAGCAACATGGCCTCCGCCAGGATTAAGTCTTCCCGTGCTATGGAGGTACGGCCGGTGTCTAGAGTTATAGCTCGAAGGTCGTATCGTTCGGGCTCGTCCTCGACCAGGACCTTAGCATCGTCCACACGCTCCACGGTGCTGCCAGCCACCAGGTGAGCACGTCGCTCTCGAGGGGCCAAGTAACCAGCCTGAGGAAAGCCATCTTCACCTTCACGCACGGCCAGGAACCGGCGCGTCTCAGCAGACACAGCGTTGTGTGGCGGCGCCAGGTATCGGTCCCAGTTTTCGTACATCACGCGGGCTGACCCGTTGACGGAGATCAAGATCTCGTAGTTCGACTCAATACGCAGGACGTTACCCAGGAAGGGGACAGTGCAGGTGCCGGCGTGCATGGCCCCGGCCATCCAGGTGCTGTGCTTCTCGGCGCGACACCACACAGTTGACGGGTCGTCCTCCGTGATGAGGACGGCGTGTGGGGGCAGACCACCTCCAGGTGCGTCTGGCACCCAGGCCAGGGTGGAGGAGGTGACGGTACTGCCGCCTTCACGACGGATCTTGGCCATCTCCAGGTTGGCCAGGGCGCTGCTCACCACCGCCGCCACCAGACACACCCTGCAACAACAACAACAACAACACTTTATAATCGGAGGCTACAACTTTTCGTGTAAATGTCAATACAATTGTAAAATGCTTCACAAATACTTAACAAATAAAACTAATATTTTATAAGTTTATTGCATCTTCTGCTATAAATAATTGTTACCATTAATTGATATTTTACTGGTAATTAAAAATTGTCTGTAAAGTATTAATGAAACGTTATTTATATATACTGTGTGTGTGTGTCTGTGCACACACACACACACACACACACACACACACACACACACAAGCTTTTAAAAATACGTTGTTTCGCTGTTTAAAGATAAATGTATATAATGCATCTAAAAATATATTATAACTTTATATATTGTATTTTAAAAGTAATACCGTAAAACCTTGTTCTAACGGATTACATGAGAGAGAATGGTCTGTTATAACACCTCCATTTTAACGGACACTCACCCCCCCATGAACCTGAGGATGAACGCCGTCGTTGAGTCAAGTTGTATACATGATATTCCTCACCTACACTTTTGATGACCCACTGGGTATAAATAATCCACTCTCTCCTCCTCCTCCCTCTCACCTTCACCTCCCTCTCACCTTCACCTCCTCCTCCCTCTCCACCTTCACCACCTCCTCCCCTCTCACCTTCTCCTCCTCCTCCCCCTCTCACCTCCCTCTCCCCTCCTCCTCCTCCTTACCATCTTTGTGTGTGTGTGTGTGTGTGTGTTGAGAAGTGGACACGGGTTGATAGAGTGTTGCTAGGAGGGACATCGGGAGGAGAGGAAGAGGAGTAGTGTGGAAGAGGGTGAGGATAAGTGGAGGGGAAGAGGAGTAGTGTGGAAGAGGGTGAGGATAAGTGGAGGGGAAGAGGTGGATTCAAGGTTCATGGGGGTGGAGGAGGGAGTGACTGTACTGCCTTGAATTTGGGGCAGTGACAGGTACTGAAGGAAGTGACAGGACAGGTACTGAAGGAAGTGACAGGACAGGTACTGAAGGAAGTGACAGGTACTGGAGGAAGTGACAGGTACTGAAGGAAGTGACAGGTACTGAAGGAAGTGACAGGATGAGTACTGAAGGAGTGACGGGTACTGAAGGAGTGACAGGACAGGTACTGAAGGAAGTGACAGGACAGGTACTGAAGGAGTGACAGGTACTGGAGGAAGTGACAGGACAGGTACTGAAGGAAGTGACAGGACGGGTACTGAAGGAAGTGACAGGTACTGGAGGAAGTGACAGGACAGGTGCTGAGTGACGGAGTACTGAAGAGTGACAGGATGGGTACTGAAGGAAGTGACAGGTACTGGGGATGTGAGGCGTTACTGAAAGGAAGTGACAGGTACTGAAGGAAGTGACAGGTACTGGAGGAAGTGACAGGACAGGTACTGAAGGAAGTGACAGGTACTGGAGGAAGTGACAGGTACTGGAGGAAGTGACAGGTACTGGAGGAAGTGACAGGTATCTTATTTGTTAGAGTGTATATGGTCTTAAGTAATAATAAGTATAAGTGTATATAAGTAGATGTGTAAAGCACTTATCCCTTACTGAAATTGAAGGTAAAAGCTCTACTTGTTCTCTGTAAGTGTAAGTACAGAATATTTAAGTAGACTGCTAACACACACGGTAATTAACCTAACACACACGGTAATTAACCTAACACACACGGTAATTAACCTAACACACGGTAATTAACCTAACACACGGTAATTAACCTAACATACACGTGTTAACTTAACACATTAATTAACCTAACACACACGGTAATTAACCTAACACACACATTAATTAACCTAACACACACGGTAATTAACCTAACACACACACGGGTAATATTATATGTAATATTATAAGAAATACTGGAATATCTTATCTAATATGTACCTTGTAAATATATAATAGCACTGAGAGCTTAATTTTACTAACCTAACCTAATGTAATCTTAACCTAACCTAACCTAGACGTTTCCTTAACACAAACCAGCCCTAAACACAACGTAACTAACCAGGACTTAACCTAATCTAACCTTAATACAATCCAACCTAACCTCACCTAATCACAGCCTAATCCAACCCTAACCTCACCTAACCTAACCTAACTTCTTCTTAGCCAACCTCACCTAACCTAACCTCCTAACCTAACCTAAAAGGTTACGGGTAAGACGGACGTAAACCAACAGACAAACAGACCAGTAATATACGCCTGTTACTACGCACTGTGGTGGGGGGTAATAAAAATAGTGAAGATGCGTTACTTATTTATTGTTATTATTAAGATGTATATGAGCGAGAGAGAGGGGGCGTAGACATAGAGAGAGAGAGAGGGGGCGTAGACATAGAGAGAGAGATAGAGGGGGCGTAGACATACAGAGAGAGAGAGAGAGGGGGGGCGTAGAGATAGAGGTGATGGATGAGGGACATACTATAATGACCTACCTGTCAACCTTAACTCAGGTACATGATAATTTAGATATATTTACGAACCTGAAGACTTCCTTAACACACCTTTTAATGAGTATGGTGATGTTATTCATAATATGTAAAGAAATGGGACTTAAATGGTGATTATGGTGATGATACGTGTCTACAACCTCATTCATAACCCCATATGTGTCCACAACTTCGCTATGTGTCTTTCGTAACCCCATATGTGTCCACAACTTCGCTATGTGTCTTTCGTAACCCTTCTATGTGTCAACCCTGGTATGTGTCGCTATAACCCGGAAATATTCGTCCCTCGCACCCCGACACGTCATCAGTCAACGTAAAAGCTGGAAGCAAATAAAACAAAGAGTAATAAACGCTTGAATAACCAGATGAACGCTAATCTGGGCCGTGGTGGTAGGGGGGTGAGTAGTGGTGGTGGTAGTGTGTGGTAGGGGTAGTGGTGGTTGGTGTGGTGGTGGTGGTAGGAGTGTGGTAGTTGTGGTAGTGGCGGTGTGATGGGTTTTTTTTTAATGTTATTTATACTTTTACAGTGGCAGACAGATGTATTACGGCGTTGGGGGTGTGGCGGGGAGGAAGGTGTGGGATGAAAAAGGGGAAGGGATGAGGGTGTGGTGGGAGGAGAGAGGGTGTGGCGAGAGGGAAGGGAGGAGAAGAAGGGTGTGGCGAGAGGGAAGGTAGGAGAAAGGTGTGAGAGGAAGGGAGGAGGAAGGTGTAGCAGAGGGAGAGAGAAGGGTGTAGCGAGAGGGAATGTGTGAGGAGGTGCAGTAGCTCACGCCCCAACAGTTAATGCCTAGCCAGCCGCCTGTTGCTGTGCCCGTAGGATCGCTGGAACACACACACACACACACGCACACACACACACACACACACACACACACACACACACACACACACACACTGTTAAGTCATAGTTCCTCCTACGTCATAAACTACTTAATAATGAACTCTCTGATTTTGAATGAAAGGAAAGGAAGAAGAAAAGCAGGTGTGGAGAAAGAAAATTATGGTGAAAATACAATAAATAAAAGTGTAGGGGTAAGAGGAGAGGGAGGAGGGAGGGGGTGAAGGTGGGGGGTAAGGGGGTAGGTGGAGGGTGAGGAAGAAAGTACAGTGAGTCGTGGTTTAATAGACAATAAGAGTGAGAGAGAGGCATTAGTGTGTGTGTGTGTGTGTTTTGCCCTATTAAGGCTAAATAACATCAATTCGCTCCCCAAAAAATACAACACTAATTACGTGTTTTTAATCATTGGTTCATTAAGTATTGTGCAACAATTAAAATCATGATGAGAAAATAAAAGTTGATTTGACACGTATTAATAGGTCGTTTATTTACCATTACATCAGTTGTATTGTTTGTTCAGTGGTAATATTATTGTTCTTTTGTTCAGTGGTAATATTGTTCTTTGTTCAGTGGTATTGTTCTTTTGTTCAGTTGTATCGTTGTTTTGTTCTAGTGGTAAATGTATTTTTGTTCTTGTTCAGTGTTAATATTGTATTATGTTCACAATACAGGTTCACGAGTGTGGATGTGTTTATATTATCAACATAAGTGACAATACCTAACCTAACCTAACCTACCTTAACCTAACCTAACGCTAACCTACATAACCCAACCTACCTTAACCTAACCTAACGCTAACCTGCCTTAACCTAGCCTACCTTGCTTACCTAACAGCTGCTACTGGCAACACCTAGCTACCTGCTACAACCTGTAGCAACCTGCTCTAACCTACCTTAACCTAACTAACGCTAACCTACCTTAACCTAACCTAACGCTAACCTACCTACCTAACAAACCTAACGCTAACCTACCTTAACCTAGCCTACCTTAGCCTAACCTAACCTACCTTAACCTAACCTAACCTACCTTAACCTAGCTAACCTAACCTAACCTGGACGTGTGATGCCTTCCGGAACACCTGGGGCAGTGTCCGGTCGAAGGGTATTGGGTGTCCTAAGGGGTCCGGGGAAGGGGTGGAGAGGGGAGTAGCGCAAGTGGTCGTGGAGGAGGAAAGGGGGTAGGTTGGAGCCTTCTACGGGCCAGTGAGGGGTGGAGGAAGGTGGGGGGTGGGAGGGTGTATTGTCGGGATCATATTTCATCACCCCCCTTCCATTCTCCTCTTCCTCCTCCACTACCCTCCATCCCATAGTATTTACGTTGTTCCACCTCCACTCTCCCTCCCACCTCCTCCCCATCATCTCCACACTTCCTCCCCATCTTCCCATCACCTCCCTCTCCCCCACCAAACAAACACAACCTCTCCCTCGTGTTATGACAACCCCTCCCCCACCTCTCTAGTTACTGTTATGGGACCCGATATTCTAGAGTTAATGTTCACTAGTTCTCTCTATTTATTTACCCAATGATATTATACATTGATGTTTTTAAAGATTTATTGTCTATTATTTTTTTAATAGAGACGTGTGTTATTATTTTAAGGTGTGACTGGCTCTCTAACCGCCCCCCCTCCCCTCCCACCTTGGAAATTGTATGGTAGAATGTTTATATTGGCAGCGTCAGTCGTCTCTCTCTCTCTCTCTCTCTCTCTCTCTCTCTCTCTC